AGGTTCACCTGATTACAGAGCATTTAATCTTTTCATTATATATGTTGTTTCCACAAAATTATGGGTGGTGGAAAACTACAACAATGGGCTAGGCTCCTATAAAATTCTGATAATTTAAAGAGATAGATATACAAAGATTTAAAGACTTTTAAGGCATTTATAATTAATATCCAATTGTGTTAATTTATGAATAGTAGTAAACTTTTATAGCTCTTGGTTCAGCATGATAAAAGGAACACAGAGTCACAGAAACCCGAGCAGAAAAAGGGAAGGAATGTGGGGTCTGTTACCTAATAATTTTTCTCTTTCTTTAGGGCACTATAAATACTGGACACCAAAAAGAAAGAGGTACCATGCTGGAAATGTAGCAGGCACTCTGAAAGAAAAGGAAGGTAAAATATGGAAGGCAAGACTATTTCTATGATGATAAAGAGCAGACACATTTTTAACCTTCAGTTCTCAGCTTAGGTCATAAGCAAACTAACATCTCTAATACCTATTATAAAAATACACTTCCTGGCTAGGCGTGGTGGCTCACGCCCGTAATCCTAGCACTCTGGGAGGCAGGTGGGAGGATCACTCGAGGTCAGGAGTTCCAGACCAGCCTGAGCAAGAACGAGACCCTGTCTCTACCAAAAATAGAAAGATATTAGCTGGACAACTAAAAATATATAGAAAAAATTAGCTGGGCATGGTGGCGCATGCCTGTAGTCCCAGCTACAAGGGAGGCTAAGGCAGAAGGATTGCTTGAGCCCAGAGTTTGAGGTTGCTGTGAGCTAGGCTGATGCCACGGCACTCTCACCTGGGCAACAGAGTGAGACTCTGTCTTAAAAAAAAAAACCTGATTTTAATGATTTCCCTGAAATTCTTATTTATATTCAATATATTTGAAAATACGTAATTTAACTTACTCTTCTAAAACTTCCCTTTATATTCAGTATATATGTACCTTTATATTAACTTACTATATTCTAAAACTTACCTTTATATTCTGCACCCAATCTCAACATTAAACGCATAGGAAAAACTTTTGCCCACGGAATCTCCAGCTTCTGGATAAGAATTCCACAAAGAAAAGGATTATTTGGTAATGGGAGATCATCAAGTTTCTGAAAAGTAGGTGTAATAAACAGGAATCCTCCATGATCCTTGCTATTGAGAAAACTCTCAGTAAAGGTAATATTGTCCAAGTTTCCTATGTATTTTCCTGGAAATAAAATCATTGATAAGAAGATGTTAAGTTATTTTGCTGCTGTTTTGAAGAAACGTTCTGAGTTTGCATATTTCAATATAAACTTTCTTAAGGCAATGTAGAATTATTTTTTCTTATTTCTACTTTTTTTTAAATTTCCACTCTTAAAGGAGCATCTATGAATATCTTCTGTGCACGAAATTCAGTTACTCCTAGAGATTTTCAGATGTAAGAAAATTATATAGACCCATTAAAAAAATCAAGGAGGCAAATATATTTCCATTTTTTAACTTTAAAAAATCTGTGTATAGACACTAATCACCTAAAATGTTAGATTTAAGAAGACCGAAAATGATTAAGCTATTTTAAGAAATCAGCAATCTCTTCACAAAATAAATCTTTTGTATAGTCTGCATAACCAAAAGCATAAATGCCTTTAACTCATTTATCCATCTCCTAGTTTGAACAGTTCAAAATAAAATGCTTTACCTTTTAGAGCATCCTTATATATGGTGATAAATAGTCTGAAGATGTCCTTAGGAATAGTATCTTCATTTGGCAAACGTAACAATAGAATAACAATTTCTGCCTGTCCCAAGCCATGTAATCCATTGGTAGAGAAGTACCAACATTTGTCTGAGGAATCTTAAGTGATAAAAGCATACAACTATAAATGCCAACTTCTATTAACCAAAACAACTAAAAATAATTGTTTTTGCATGAAGCAAAACTTTTCAAATTCCTTATTTTCCCAAATTCTCCTCATAAAAACTTTAAAATGAATTGTATAAGATTCATATAAAAAAAGAAAAAGGATTATCTTATGGAATTAATCAATAAATAACATTAAAATAAAAGGTGCATTAAATGCTGAAATGTAGTGGGCCAGAATTAG